TTTCCAGCATCTGCAGTTCCTACTATCTCCTATACCAGATATGGAGGGACTGTTTTATGAGGAGAGATTAAGTATAGTGGACCTGTACTCATTGGGAAGAATGAAAGGTGACCTTGTTGAAACAAAGAAGATTCTTAGAGGACTTCACAGGTTGAATGCGCAAAGGTTGTTTCCCCTTCTGGGAGTGTTTTGGATTAGATGGTATAATCTCAGAACAAGAAGTCATACGTTTAAGACACATGAGGAATTTCTTCTGGGTCTGGGTGGGTTGCTTTTCAGAGGCTCAGTGCAGACTTGATGGGCCAAATGGCCTCCTCCTGACTGTAGGGATTCTATATAGAAATGAGATCACCAAAATCTCTGGATGCTTTCCGTCTGCAGGCTGTGGATGTTTTTTTCCACTGATGCTCTTGGCACTTATAGCTTTTTAACGCACTGGAGCTCAACCCAATCAGAAGGTTGTTGTCAGGCAAAAAATTTTTAATTTGAAAAATCCTTGTGCCACTTGGTCTCATTCTCCCTCTTAAACTGCTTCCAAAAAGCATAATTGTATTGCACAGCTCAACTGTATACAATGCTCGATTTTCAAGTTGGAGAGCTTTCCTCGAACTTTCAGAGTGCTGTTCTTTCATCAGGACTTGACGAAGAAGCAGCACTCCAAAAGCTCGTGATTTCAAATAAACCTGTTGGACTATAACCTGGTGTTGTGTGACTTCTGACATTTTCCACCCAAGTCCAAAAACACTGGCACCTCCACACCACCATTAAAATAATGTTTGGCCAGAGACAACATTAAAGGATAGTAGCATTTGGCAAATCTTAGTGTTTTTTTTTGTTTCCTGGTATTGCAATTATAGTAATTCAACTTCCATTTCAAGTAATAATCACAAAAAATGAAAAATATGTGGTCTCTTACACTGTTTTGCCATGCAGTATGTCACGAATGATCTTTTTATCTCATTTACATCTTACCACATTATCACAAAATCCCTTGGTGTCCTAAAACGTGTTGATCTGTCTTGTGTATACCCAATGACTGAGCATCCATGGCTTTCTGGGACAGACAATTACAAAGTCCTTGAGTGAAGATATATTTTTGTCACTGTCCAAAGTGGTTTATCCCTGTATTCTGTCACTTTGACACCCCCATGTCCTAGACTGTCCAGCCAGTGATTTCAGCTTCTCAGCATCAAACCTGCCAGATGCTCTCAGAATCTAAAATTTCAATAATACAACCTTCATCCTTCCAAATTCCAAAGATTGGTGGCTTTGTCTACACAATATCTCTTCGTAAGGCAATCCTGTTTTAACAGAGATTAGTTTGTTAAATCTTTTTTGCAGTCCCTTTAAAGTGCATATGCCCTTCCTTGGGTAAGAAGACCAAAATTGCTTGCTAAGATATGATCTCACTAAGTTGCTAGACCATTATGTAAAACTAGTTAACTTTTATGTTTCAGTCATTTTTGTAATAAACGGTAATGTACATGTTGCTTTCTTAATTGTGTGCTTTATCTGAAATTTAACTTTGTGATTTGTGTACAAGAACGCCTAGATTCCTCAGAATACCAACATTCCTGAGTCTTACACGGTCAAAATGTTTTCCAAGCCATAAAACGTAACTTCACTTTTTTCGTTTATATACAATCTGCCATATTCTTGCCAATTCATTTAACCAATTTAGATCCTTTTGCAACCTCTTTGTAGCTTACTTTCCCATCTAATTTTGTCATCATCAAAATTGGATACATTCACGTGACTCCGTCATTTAAGTCTTTAGTAGATAGTAACTAGCGGAGACCCAAGCACAGATCCTTGTACCTCACTTAGTTTGCCAATCTGAGAATGACATATACATACTGTTTTTGTCTGTTATTCAATCCTTGATTTATACTCTTACGTTATTTTCCCCGCCATCAATCCCAGAGGTTATAAGTCTGCTATCACCTCTGGTGTGTGGCACGTTTTCGTTTTGAAAATCCAAGTATGTCTTTAACTATTGTATTAGTTTATTCAACAACCTCAAAAAAAAATCCACTAAGATTTGCCAAATGCTACTATCCTTTAATGTTGACTGTGGCCAAACATTATTTTTATAATGTTCCCCGTTGATGTATCCATAGTTTATAGTTTCTGGCATTTTCCCTACATTTCCCTAGTGCTGCTACATCTTGTGCAGTTCTATGGGTTCAAGAATAACATTCTTCTGCTCAGATATTGAGTCCTGAGGTGGCTAAATAGTTCAATACTCAATCTGCAAACCTTACCATGGGCGGAGCGGAGGTATTTGCTAATGTGGCTGGCTGGGATGCTCAGGTTGTTGCATGCTCATTCTGTTTGTGATGGGCTCCACTGAGACTTGTTGGAGATGCTCAATGATTGTCTATCTGCTTTCCAGATGATCCTTCAAATTAGACGGTCTTGGGCTGGAGATGTCCATGAATGGATGGAGATATTTACATTTTTTTCAGGGAGGCTTTGAGGGTGTTCTTGAGGCATTTTCTCTGCCCTGCTGGTAATTGCATGCTGTTACGAACCTCTTGAGTAGCGAACGCATCAGATATGCGAACAATGTGGTCCACTCAGTGTAGCCCTTTGACACTAACCAATACCTAGGCCCAGAAGGAATTGGCCTTCGAGAGAAGAGTGTTACTGGACCACCTGTTGGACAATATTGTGCGATGGATGCAAACTGGTAGAGGATCTTTGACTTCTAAAGCTCATTCTCGCATACCTCTGTGAATGTATTGATGATAGTTTGGAGCTTGGCCTGTGAGTGTGTGCAACGGAAGCGTTGTCTATGTACTGCAGCTTGTTGACAATGGTGGAGGTTGCCTTGGCTCTGTACTAGAGGGATGTTTACCAGTGGATTAGCTTCATGTCAGCAGGAAGCTTCATGGATTTAGGATGAGTTGTTTGCAAGGAAGGTGGAGAAGAGCATTGGTGTGATGACACAGCCTTGCTTGACCCCGGGTTTCATTGTGTTTGTGGTGGACCTATTTGTAAAGGTCGCAGCTTTCATGCCATTATGTAGCAGGTGGAGAATGGCAATAAATTTCTCCAGCAGCCAAATTTCTGGAGAGTGCTTCACGCTTAGTTAACAGATTCAGAGGCTTTTCTGAGATAAAGAAAAGCCACACATAAAGGTTGCTGCTGTCCTCTCCACTTTCCTTGGGCTTTTCTCCTCTGAAGATCCAGTCCACTGCCACTTCATGGATAGAATGTGCATTATGGCTCTGGTAGGGACTTTGCTGACGCTGGGAAGAGGTGATTGTGGAGTATTTCTGTAATGACATTTCCCTCCGATGGACAGCAGGGAGACCTCTGTAATCACTGCAATTGTTTTATTTCCTTTCCTAAAACTGGTCACAGTTAAGGCATTTTTCCTTCAAGGTGAGGTCGTGTGTACAATTTAAGATTGCTGCTCCACTGTATTTTAGTTCTTCAGCGATCCTATCTGTATCGAGGGCCTAATTGATTCTCAAGTATTGGATGGTCTTTTTCATCTCATGTTGAGGTTATAATAAAATGATGATGGGGAGCACGCTGTGATTGAGGATAGTCATGTCAAAGACTGAGTCTTGGC